CAGTTTCTCTGGCAAATCCATTCCAGTCCCTCCCCACCCTCACAGCCAGGAATTCTTTCCCAATGTCCAATATAAATATATTCTCCTTCATCTTAAAGCCATTCCCCTTGTCCCATCCCTCCATCCCTTGTCCCCAGTCCCTCTCCAGCTCTCCTGGAGCCCCTTTAGGCCCTGCAAGGAGCTGTCAGCTCTCCCTGGAGCCTTCTCTTCTCCAGGTGAACCCCCCCAGCTCTCCCAGCCTGGCTCCAGAGCAGAGGGGCTCCAGCCCTCAGAGCACCTCCATGACCTCCTCTGGATTTACTCCAGCATCATATTTATTCCATATTTATTCTGTTCTCACACTCTTCCCTAAGCATCTCTTCCTGGATGTGCAGGAGTCAGGGATCAGAGTTAAAAAGACCTTTGGCCTGGCCCAGCTTGGCTGTTCTCCTTTCTTTCTTTCTTTCCTAGATTTCCTTAAAAACGGGAGTGAGGGTGACCTGTGTTCTTGGAGCTCCTCAATCTTTAGATAAAACATGGCCCAGATGAGAAGTGATGAACCTCTCTCTGGCAGCTTTTGAGGCCGTTTCCCTCCAAAAATTGCAGCAGCCCTTTGACTCTGACCCCCTCCCCTTCCACACATCCAGCCCAAACAGCACCTCCAGGATGACCATTTTCCTGGTCACCTTTTGGGACGCTGCCAGGAGTCAGTGGCGTGTTTTGGCCAAAAAGCAGACATCTCCTTCGTCCCCATCTCCCCCCACGGCAGCACTGCTGCCAAACTCATCTATTTTTAAAGCGGGTCCAACCCACCCTGTTTGCAGGGATGAGCTCGAGGGTAAACGCCATCCACATCCACGGAAATCAGGGAGAAGGGGGATCCGAGCCAGCAACTTGGGAGGTTGGCTCGGCTTGGAAACCACCAGCAAGAGGGACCGTCGTGAGACGTAACCTCAGCCCACCAATCCTGTCTTCATGTGCTACTGCTCGGTTAGAGCCTGGTGCTTTTACAGCTTCCAGGGAAACCAGAGGGGCCTGGAGACTCCATCCCACCCCCAACACAATGGGGACGGCCCAGCGTGGGGCAGGGCTGCTTTATCTAAACTCCATTGTCCCACCAACAATCCGCTGTGTTCCCGGGGCTCCCCGGGGGCCTTTGAAAAGCAAACAGCTTTTGTGAAGCCCCGGAGCCCCGTTTGCGGCGTGGACAGGGAATTATCCCGGGAAATGCCAGCGAAGGGGCAGCCCTTTGCACCAGGATAGAGGGGCAGAGCTTTGAAAGGCTGTTTAGGAGTGAAAAAAAAAGCCTCCTGGAGAGGTTTTCTTCACTGCTGCAACCACCCTGTGGTGTCCCTGCTCGTTCCGTGCCCACAGAGCAGGGCTGGGAATAGAATCAGGGAATCCTGGAACGCTTTGGGTTGGAAGGGGCCATAAAGATCACAAAGACATGCATGTTTACACATCTAAGTTGGGGTGTCTTAGTTTAAATTGGGGTGTCTGAGTCTAAACTGGGGTTTAGACTGGTCTTAGCTCGGAGCTGATCCCGCTCTTTATCCAGACTGGGAGGATTTAAGTGCCCGGCACCTCTAGGGATGAAGGGAACAGAATCCTCCAACCAAAATTCCTGTTCAGCCCTCAGTGTTTTCCCTGAGGCTTTGGAAATCAGTGGCTGGTTTGTGCCTTTTGTGCACGTCCCATTAAGCTTTTTATTTAGTCACAACTTTGCTGTAAAAAAAAAAACAAAACAAAAACCCAAAAGGCAAGAAAAGCCAACCCAGAGGATTTCTGGCTTTGCTTATCTCTCCAAGCAGTGAAACACTTCCCCTGCTGATTCCAGACGTGTCATTAGCAACGTCTGAATCAGCAGCTTGGAGAAACTTTGGAGACACTTCATCTGGAAAGCCCTTCCTTGTGATTCCATCCTCCTATCCCGCTAATCCCAGCCTCCAGCAGAGCCCTGCCAGTTCCTCAAAGGATCACTGGATCCAGTTCAGCTCCACGAAAAAAAGGGTGCAGAATTTTGCTGTTGTCTCACAAATAAAAAGGAGGGAAGGATAAAGTCAGGCCCAGGGTGTCCACAGTGATACTTGGAATAGGATTTGCCATCAGTCTTGTAGAAAACTCCTGTCTCAGTCCCTCCCTGGGACACTGGGAGGGACCAGGACACGTGGACACCAAAACCCTGAACGTTTCACCCAGATGCTGGAACAGAGATGAGGTTTAGGCCTGGAATTAGATGAGATGTCCTCAGGTTTGGGAGACAACTGCGTGGGAACTGCAGATACAATTCCTGGGACCTTCAGGAAACTCCTCCCCTTCTGCAAGAGCAGCTGGAAGCCAAGCAGGACACTTGGGGGACTAAAATGACCTGAGACACGTGGAGGGACAACTGGGGTCAGGCTCTGCTCCCAGAGAACAAGGGACAGGAGGAGAGGAAACGGCCTCAAGGGGTTCAGGTTGGATATTGGGAAAATTCCTTCCTGAAAAGGGTTGTCCAACCCTGGCACAGGCTGGAGTCCCCATCCCTGGAGGGATTTAAAAGCTGTGGGGATGCGGCACCTGGGGACATGGGTTGGACTGAGGGGGCTTTTCCAGCCTCAATTCTATCATTCCATGAATGGATGGAGTGAGCAAAGGGGGATGTTCAAGGCCATCAGCTCTGAAGGTGATGTTCCCCAATCTTGGTGCTCTGTTATGGGTTTTATAATATTTTACTGACAATCCCAACCCCTGGAATCCCAGATGGTGAAGTTTTGTCCTTCTGGTTTTCCATTAGTTTATTTTCAGCTTTTCCTATTTTCCAGAGCACTTGTGTCCTCAGGTGAAAGAGTGAAGGAATCAAATTCATAGGATCATGGGTTCCTGGGTTGATTTGGGTTGGGAAAGACCTTAAAGCTCATCTCATTCCAACCCCCTGCCATGAGCAGGGACACCTTCCACTAGCCCAGGTTGCTCCAAGCCTTGAACACTTAAATTAAATGATAATTAAATTAAATTACACCAGTTAAAGCATCACACTTCTTAAACCAGTTTCTAAAGGTGTGGCAAGGCCAGATTTTTGCCCCTTCCAACAGGTCAGGAGATGACCAGTGATGGTCAGTGTGTCCTCAGGGTGGATTTCTGGGAGCCATCAGAGTTCCTCTTGGTCTCAGAAGTACTGAATTGGAGACTGTGGAGGTCCAGGCTGTGTCCATGGCTTGGCCATCCCGACCTTTGTGGCCTTCTGGGAATGATTTCCACTCGTGTCCCTCTCAGCTCCCGGCAGAGGGATCTCAGCCCGTGGAAGTGGTTGTTGCAGCTGGCAGATGACTCGATATTTTGTCACCTGGGGGACCTTCCCTGACTCAGCATCGTGGTTCCCACCCAGCTGGGACCTCCCTCGTGCTGGATGAGTGCTACCGGAGTTGCCTGGAGGGATTTTTCCCCCTCTGGAGCAGCCGAAGGGAAGCCCAGCCATCCATCCCATCCCAGGCTGCCTCCTCCAACCTCCCCACACTGCTGCTCTTCCCAGGCAGCCACAAATCCCCCTTCACCCTCTGAACTCCGACTGGCTCCCCTCCCTCTCCCCCACCCCTGCCAAGGGATGGAGATCCCTAAATATCACTTTGTCCCTCCTGGGTAAATCCAGGGCAAAATGGTGACTCCTGAGACAAACTCCTGGGAACGGAGCCTGTTGGAGAACCTCAGACATTTGCTCCTGAGGCTTTTCCCTGAGGATCTAAGCGGCCCATCCAGAGAATCCCCTTTCCCAGAGTAGGATTTGTGCCTCCTCCATCGGCGGGATTGGACACCAGCGTGCTGGGAGCCGTGGATCTGTGTGTCCTGGCACCTCTCACTCCTCACCCTTCCAAAGAGAGGCCCTGTGGTTAATCAGAGGAATTAACCACAGCCTCCCAAAACGTCCTGCCAGCCAATCAGGAGGCTCTTCCCAGGGCCATTCCTGCTACAACACCATCGTTGTCCGGCAGGAACGTGGATCTTCCCAGTTAAATTTCTCAGTGGGGCTCAGGGACCTTTTTGTCCCCCCTCACAACTGCTGGATTCCCAGAAATCCTAAACTTGGAGCAGGATT